TGTAGAGTTGGCAACCACAAAATAATATACTACTAGCACCCTAATGTCTTCTTCGAGCTCTAGAAGGGAAGTTTCAATTAGAGAAAGCAAAACCCAATTAAATGTTCGTTCACCTAATTCAAGATATACACATCACCAACACCAAACATAAGCACACACATCATCAATATGCTCCCAAAAATTAATTACTATAATCATGATTAGTGGATTAATTAAGAAGCTTGGGCCGTAAGCTATGGTGTGGGTTTACTTGGTAATATTTTGACTTCATCAAACTTCAATATAACTTTCTAAACAAGGAAATACTTTTTTTTTTTTACTTTTAGAAGTTTTACAATTACATTGATTTTATTCAAGACTAGCTTCCAAAACATAGTTAAAAAATTGAAATTAGGAAAGGTAAAGATATAAGTCGCTACAAAAGATAGGTGAATACAATCAAAATTTATAAAATATAGTGGAGAGAAAATCGACCTTTAAAAAATACTTTTTCAAACTCAAAAAATAAGACGATATCATTATTAGTATTTTTTGTTTTTCGTGAAGTAAAAAATTCAAAAGATAATATATTTCCAATGCAACTTTTGTATGTTTATTTAATTAATGATAAAAATATAAAGAGAAAAGATAAGAATATAAATAAGAAATAAACAAAACCGTAATGTCAATATAATTAAAAAGAGAAATGGAGGAGGGTAAAGTTTTTGGGGGCAAAACAACAACAGTACCTCGTCCTCATAAAAGTCAATTCCACGTGTTTCTCTCTCCTCTCCACCCCATCTCTCTCTACAATTCGTCTCCCTCTTCAGCTCTACTCACTCCTATATATAAACACGCACATTTACAAGCTTCTGTAACATTTATTCATAAAGAGAACAGTATTGAAATCCCACAAAACAGAAAGAAAATAACGTCTCATTACTCTTTGTAGAAACGAACCAATCACGAACTCTTATATCCTCTCTCATTTTTATTGGTTCGGACTTCTTATTCATCCATTCTTAGCCCGCCAAACATTGTCGTACATTTAGGTAAATTTTTAATCTTTCATGTTTTGATTTCTGGTTTTCCTTCTGACCAACGTGATTATTCAAATTTTTATACATTCACGAATTGGTTTTTTCGACATGATAGATTGTTGTGTGTGAATTTTCATAAAACGGGTTATGGGTTCTTTGCATTTTGCTTGATTGGTGTGTTTGAGTTGCTTTAGCTGGAAAAATTTTGGCCCCTTTTTTTTGTTAGATGTTAATGATATTGAAAACGACCCCTTTTTTTCGGTTCCGTTTGATGGGATCTATGTGACGTTTGCTATCTGTACTGGCAATGTTATTGATTATGGATCAATGTGTAGCTTCAGATTTTCGCATATTTTAACTGATTTTACAGCTCATTTGACTGATTACCTGCCTGTCTTATTTAAAATAACTTAATGGTTCTGTTCTGAATGATGTTAATTCTGTTTTGTTTGATTTTCTTGAAGTTTAACGTCGTAATGTAGCGTATGACGTAGCTGTATTTGGATTTGATTCTGTTTATATATGTGAAATTCGCTTATAAGTAAATATTTCTCTTGACAAAAATCCAGGTGCCTAGGCTGTTCATAATCCATTTTTAAATTGCATGGGGGTATCTTGTTCATGTCTGCTCAGTGTTTATAGTGATTTGGAGAATGGTTTTGAATCTGTCACTGTTAAATCGATCGATCTCGGGGATGATGACGGGAAAAATCCTCTTCGATCTGTCGAACATACAATATTGCAATCATTAGGGTTGAGGAAAATGTTGACGGAAGGATCTGTTAGCCTGAGGGCAAGAGAAACTGAAATGAACTCCATTCAAGTTCCAGTCGAAGATAAATGTGCGTGCCAAGAAATGGTCAGTCCGTTTTCGATGGACGGAATCCCACAATTGGCTGGTTTGAAACCTAGCAGCCCCAAACATGAGGCTGCTGTGAGGTTGCAGAAAGTGTACAAGAGCTTCCGAACACGAAGAAAGTTAGCAGATTGTGCTGTTCTTGTCGAGCAGAGCTGGTGGAAGCTATTAGATTTTGTCGAACTCAAGCATAGTTCGATTTCATTTTTTGATCTTGAGAAACACGAGACTGCCATGTCACGCTGGTCTAGAGCGAGAACAAGGGCTGCCAAGGTGAATTTTAATTAAGTTATTGTGCAGTTGTGCAAATTTAGTTTTGACAAAAGTTATGAATTTTCTTACATTATTTCCGTTTTCATTGCAGGTTGGGAAAGGTTTATCGAAGAACGGCAAAGCCCAGAAACTTGCTTTACAACATTGGCTCGAAGCGGTGAGAAATTCGTTCTATAATATCCTTGCTTTCTCTTATATACCATTCTTTCTAATTAGGAATTGTTGCTGACTCAATCTTTTTGTGTTGAGCAGATTGATCCACGACATCGTTATGGGCACAATCTCCATTTCTATTATGTGAAATGGCTGAATTCTCAAAGCATGGAACCCTTCTTCTACTGGTAATTATCTGCCAAGGGAAAATATGTGTTTTCCCACAAGAACTGTTCTGTTGGAGAATTTTTTTTTCCCATTTTGACATTATATGTGCTATTTTAATGACGTAGGCTGGATATAGGCGAAGGCAAGGAGGTTAACATCATTGAGAAATGTTCTCGATCAAAACTTCAACAACAGTGCATCAAGTATCTTGGTCCGGTGTGTCCAAATTTCCCTCATTGGTTCTCTTTTCTCTGTTTAATTTTAATTGAATAATTCTTCCAACCTCGGAGAATTTTCGTTCTTAATGGTTTTCCTATTTTCTTTCATAGATGGAGAGAAAGGCTTATGAAGTTTTACTCGAGGACGGAAAACTCTTCTACAAGCAAACAGGGGAGCTCTTGGACACCACTATAGAACCAAAAGGTGCTAAGTGGATTTTTGTACTGAGCACCTCTAGGACTTTATATGTAGGCAAGAAGAAGAAAGGCACATTTCAGCACTCGAGTTTCCTGTCTGGAGGAGCCACATTGGCAGCCGGGAGGATTGTTGTCGAAAAAGGAATTTTAAAGGTACTTTAACACTATTGAAAGCTGCAAATAAAATCTGTCAAAAAGTTCTTTTGTTACTTGATTTTCACCCGTTTGAATGTTAACTCAATTCATTCTTTGGTGAATTTTGACAGGCAGTCTGGCCTCACAGTGGCCATTATCGACCGACCCCAGAAAATTTTCAGGACTTCATAGCATTTCTCGGAGAGAATAATGTGGATCTCACAGATGTTAAGGTATAGAGAAGTTTATTATTAGTCTTTTGTTCTCCACTACTCTCTAATACTATGTATTAAGCATGCACTTCATGTTTTGTACGATGAGAAATCAAGATTTAAAAGCTGAATAATTTTAATCGTGTTTTGTCCAGCTTGATTCCATTGATGAAGAAGAAGAATCTATGGGAAAGAAGGGAGGTTTATACTTGAGAAGTATCTCCTCCGAAGAAGACTTGACTGAAAAGGATCGGTTAGAGACAATAGAAAATGATACTGAAGACTCCATTTTGCATAAAGTTGTATCTAGAGAAGGAGAGACTTCCGCTGCAATAGAGATGCCCAAATCAAGAACTTCTCACAACTTCAGTCAGAAACTTACTATTCTACAAATACCAAGCAAAGACGATTTCTTGGGGACATTAAAAATTGAAAACACAGTGGCAGAATTAAAAACTCAGAATTTCTTGCTGGAATCACCTATGGATGGATATGAAACAGCAGAAGAGTCTTTTGCTTCAGAGCTTCATTCCATTAATCAAGAGCATAACAAGTCTCATCAAGAACATGATGAGACTAATGAGGAGATCATTTCAGAACAATCAATTCTCCAGAGGATAAATTCTCATAAAGATATGAAGTCATTTCAATTAGGGAACAAACTATCTTGCAAATGGAGTACAGGAGCTGGACCTCGAATAGGATGTTTAAGAGACTATCCTTCGAGGCTCCAGTGCCATGCTTTGGAGCAAGTGAATTTATCCCCAAGAAATAATAGCCACTTAAGATTAGACTTCCCTTCTCAGGATTCAACACCGACCGGCTTTGGTAGGGAAATACCGGTGTGTTCTAGCTCGTCTCCTCTAGACAAATCGAATCTGTCTCATAATAGCAGTAACACAGTCTCCCTTTCTGTAAAGGAACTTACTAAATCTACTTGCTGTAACACAAGTAGGAACAGTTCATTTTTTTTTATTGATCCATTCTTTTGTTTGAATAGAAGAAATGATATAGCAATTCTTTGATAGGAATTCTTCCAACTTCTGTTTTCTCTTAGAACATGTACTCGAGTTTTGTTTCATCATCTTGTACATTACATGATGAACAATTGTAGAATTTTGTGGGTTTTAATACCCTTGCAATTTAGAAGAAAATATTTTAAGTTCTTTCAACAGTACTTGTTCTAATTTTTTTTGGCATTTATGCATGGCTTTTGAATTCTGATTTACTACAATGAATATCTTGATTAAAATAGGCTCCAAACAGTTTTCCGCGTTTTCTAACATTGAATTTGACTTGGTCTGTCGTTTTGAAGTGATTACAAGGTATGGGAGTCAACTCATTGATAAGAATGCTTCGAGTCAAATGCTTTTATCTTTGAAAAGTTGGTATTTGTGTGAAGAGCAAGTTTCAGACCAGATAATCTAGCGGTGAGACAGCTTAGGGACTGCAGATTTGGAATTGAGAATCCCAACACTCAATGATGACCATTTTTTTACGTCAAAAGAGCTAATTTATGAAGAAAAATTGCACAAAACACATAAGAAGGTGAATTCCAAGACCTCGTACCAGAAGGCCAATATAAAGGTTCGAAAACACAATCAGCTATTCAAATTTTCTCAAAAAATACATTCTCAACAATGTTCCCTGATTCGAGCGTGGAAAGACCTATGCCTAGGTAGAGCTGACACTTCTTCTGGCCCTCGTTGATGTTGAAATAAAAAAGACAACTACTATATATAGAGAAAAAAAAAAAGATCGTGTTGTATATAAGGAAATGAAAAATAATTCATACATGCAACAAAATTGGTATAATGAATAACGGGCACATGTTAACTCTGATCAAGATGCAAAATATTCATAGGACTTCCATGAGTTGTGATGTAATGAAAATGCAAAACATAATAGATCTTAAACAAAATTATGCTTGTTTTAATTTGTTAACTGATTTGTGGACAAGAAAATGGGAGGACATTTACCAGGTTGTACTGTCACATAGATCCAAAACAAAAGACAGTTATAAGTACAGACAATTTGAAAATAATTAGAATATAATCCATCAAGATCTTCAATAATTAGCTTATGGATCAAAGTTTCAGTTCATGAATTGCCAATTATGGAGTTTTTATAGTGAGGATTATTCTCAACAAAAGCTGCACCTTATTATGTTGTCCAGACATTCAAAACTAGTCCAAATTCAGAGGATGAAAACCTATTTTAAGGGCATGATTTTTTTGATGCTTTATAGAATTGCCACATCGTTCTTGGAGTACAATGTTTATACTTTAGTTTCTGTTTTCAATCATATTTTATAGGCTACAATGACAAATGGTAATTTTTTTTTTCTGTATTTTGCTTTGCTGGCTTTTAATTGTAACCTCTCCTTAGATTTTGTTTGATGCGTGCATCTAAAGCAGATCGAGATGACAACTTGTGTCATTTTTTGTGGTTGGAAAAATGTTCCTAGCAAAGTGACAGTCATGAGTGTTCTTTCAAGGAAGAATATGAATCTAAAGTTATGATAGCATATCTAAGGAATATACAAGCAATCTTTGGTTTCATTTGGGAGAGATTTTATGAAAGATTAAGTTGTAGAATTTGACATTTTTAATGGAGTTTGTTAGGTTGCCAGTCTGTTTGAATTGGTAAGGATGGAACAATTAGTATTCTAAAGGTGACAAGTAACATCCCAAAAGATATTTGAAAGATTAATAATACTTTAACCCTTCTCTTTCTCGGACTTAAAACGTCTTTTTTTGGGATTTAAAATCGACTATGAAAAAAAAGGCTAGACGAAATTGAATAAAATTAGAAACCAATCAATGTTCTGAAGTAGAACCCACACTTTTGTTTTTCTTTCTCTCTCCTTACTCGTAAAGGGGCTCTTTAATAGAAGAAAACTGGCAAAGGCCAACCATGACGTACATATATATGTCACTACTTCTCTTTGTTTCACCTTTTTTCCAGAAGGGAAAGAGAATGCAGATGGACCACACACTGTGATCGGTAAATTTTAGTATTTTAAGTTGCGAAGCAAACTTTTATATTGGCTTGCATTCCTCTTTTCACCCTATATTTCAATTGAATTTGAGCAATTTTACAATAACGATTAAAATCATATTCTATCATTTTTACGACAACATAGAAGAATGTATTTCTTTTCAAATCATATCAATTCTTCGTTGCAATCACTTGACTTGGACTGGCCTTGCTGGTCGAAAACCTTAATACGTCTTGGAGAATTATTACAGATAGACATGGATGAATTCATGATCGGATTTAAAAAAAAAATTCAAAAGCTAATATGTAAAAAGAGAAAAAGGAAAATTACGCATAATTTTATTTTATACAACAAAAATTAAGTGGGCTGAGGGACTAGACTGAGCTATAGCTCGACCAAATCCTCCCTACATCCGCTCCTGCTCATAGACTTTTGCATACTCAAATGTAGATTTTTTAAGCTTTCTCATGTCTCATTGTCTACATCTTAATCGTTCAATTCTCCCTTTACAAACTAGCACCTCCTCTTCCTTCATCGCAATTGGTGGTCATTGTGTAGGGAGAGCTCCCCTACATTTAGACGAGAAAGCCTTCTTTTAAATCCCTTTGGCAAATTAATAAAACGTGCTACAATCTTATAATCACTTGAATGATTTCTTTGTTTACAAATGAATAATATTGAGCCGGTCTTATTTAAAAAAAAAAAAAAGATGGGAAATTGAGATACGTGGGTTATACGTAAGAAAAAAAAAATGTCAAAATTAGCAGAAAATACAAAATAAATTGAAATGTGATTAGGCATAATAATTTGGAAAAAAGAAAATAAAAATAATTCCACCTACTCACCTCTACATTCTATTTAGATTTACTTTTAATGATTCCTTTTATTGGATGTTTCTGCCATATCGATTTACCTACCCATTATTGTCCTTGCTGAAACTTTCTAATTCACCTACCACAATCATTTTCTGTTTGAAAGAAGAACCATTTCTGCTCTATTTTCCTTTTTCTTCTTCAATGAAAGAATTTTACAGATTTTGTATAAAAAAGGAGAAATAAAACATATTTTAGCAAGACATTAGAAAAACCTTGATCAGGAATCATCATTCGGATTAACACTTTTCATTTCATGGCTTGTTAGGTCGATGGATGGATAGGCATAATGCCCCTTCTGGAATTCCTTCTCTTTAATTTAATTTATTTCTCATGCCCATTTTTAACAACACATTCAAACAATAAAATATTATACACGTGAACTCAAAATTTTTCTTACTTTTTAACCACAATTTCTCCAAAAAATACCATTCGAAATATAATTTTTCTAAATTAAAGTCCACCAACCAAGGGCAATATCTTGCCTATTTTCCAAGTAAAGTAACCCGTGAATTGGAATATTGATTGCAATTTGAAATTCAAACTTGAAATTAAGACTTTTTTTTGGATTCTATCAATCCTCGTTAATAAGTTTGAATTTCGTTTTGTGATCATTTCTATTTGGGACCTCGAATTTTATGTTTTTTGCAAAAATAAGTACTTCTTTAAACAAAACCACGTATTTGGAATATTCTTCCTTTTCTGTTCGTGTAATATAAAATACATTTTTCTTTTGTGGAAATTATGTGAAGGCAGATTTTTTCAGTTTCAATTTCAAGAATCAATTTTAAAGTTTATTTATACAAAAATCAGGTATTAATTTCACATTTAATATTAAAAACATTATAAAATTAAATTAATCTATAATCACATTCTATCTCCATCTATCCCCACCAAATTTCCATCTCAAACCCTAATAATTTTTCCCTCTCCTTCTCTCTCCTCGCCATCTTCTTTCTCTTCGCCACACACCCTCATTGGAGGCAATACCAGCGCAGCACTCATGCCGCCGCCACAGTGATTTCGCTTTGAGAGCAACGAACAACAGTGAAGCAGTGCTGGTGCGATGTCCAACTGCAGTGACATCACTTTGAGAGCGGCATAGCTTGACGTCGCTGCGACGACGACGACCATTGGAAGGAAGACTAACGTTGCAGCATCACACATTCTCTCTCTTTATCACAAGGAAGATCACCGTTGAAGACCACCGGAGTGCCACAGTGTGCGACGCCTGTGAGCATCGCGCTGTGAGGTGGTTTACTTCATCTAATTTGAATCAATTCACAATTGCTTGGATCATTGCTATCAAATTTTTGTGCGACGAAACAACCCCTTTGCTCACTCTAGTGGTGCCGAAAGAATATACCAGATTGCCAATGAGTTGCGGCACTCATAGGCCGCGATGCTATGCGACAACCGCCATGATATTTTTGTGGTGTATGCTTCCTCTAATCTGTTGCTTTACCGGAGTTTTTGGGTGTTTTTTTTTTGTGATTGTTAGTGTTATGCAAACGGTGGTGGTGATGGTGCAGATTTTGGATCTTTTTTTGGGGTGGTCGTATAGTGATTTTGTTGGTGGTGGCCGTGTTGGCAGTGGTGGTTTTATGGTTGTGGTGATCGTGCGATGTCTTTGATAATTTTGGATCTGATATTTTAGTGGTGGTTGTGATGTTGGCTGTAGTGGTGATATTGTTGGTGCTGGTGAGGTGAGGTGAGGTGAGGTGAGGTGGCGTGGCGGTATCGAGGTGGTGGTAATGTGAAATAATTTGCGATCAATTAATTCGATAATTTATGATAAAATTGTAAAGAATTGTGACCTTAATATATTTAATTATTTATTTCATAAATAGCTTTTAATTAATATGTGATTTTTGAAGTTTTAAATGTTTTTTTAATTTTGAAATGGTTCATAATTAATCTTTTAGTTGTGAAAAATTCCCTTTCTTTTTTGGGAACAATACAAAAATCTTACATATAAGAATTACTTTTCAAAAATAACAAACTTCAAAAATCTTTTCAAAAATAAGGTGTTGAATCAATTTATTAAATATTTTTAATTATAATATAATACAATTACTCAAATTTATTAAATATCAAATCCAAATCATTCTCTCTCTCTCTCTATCCTCTCTCTACCCTTTCTCTCCACTAGGGCGGCCATCAACTCCGGCGACTGTTCCGACGACTATTCCGGCCATCACTCCAGCAGCCGCTCCGATGACCACTCCGATTACCTCTCCAGCAAACTGCTCCAATGACCATTCCAACGTATGCTCCGATCAACCTACCCACCCCATCCACCCACTCCCAACTTTCAAAAAATTTCCAGAATTTCAAGTCACAACTGGTCACAACGCTTCACAATTAACCAGTCATGATCGGTTACAAACAATCACAACCAGTCACAATAAACACATATTTGGTCACAAATAGTCACCACAAACAATATGCACACACCACAACAAATTGGATCAAAAAACCACCAACAAACTCCAACAATTCAAAAATCAAATGCGTAGATCCACAGAAAATACCACTTCCTCCAAGCCACCATAACTACCACCACAACGCATACACCACAATTCAACAGATTCTCACAACCACCACCACCACCACTACAACCTGACATCGCATCACCATCTTACCCAAATCTGCATCACCAACGTGTAGATCCGCACCAACAACAGCATCACCAACGTCGTGTCGAAGCAGCAGCGAGCTAAAGTGGTGCGACGATGATTGCTTGCTGCAGCGACGTCGACAGCGGTGGCGACGTGACGAGCAGTATTAACACCTCCGACCCGATGGCACCTACGACTGTGAAGCAAGGCGCCACTGCTTGTAGCAGTAGTGACACCTTGTTGTAGCGATGGCAACGAGCCGAGCCGGGAAAAAAAAAGCTCAGGCCGAGCCCGAACTTTTTTGGATCGAGCTTTTTTCGGCCCGAGCCGAGCCGAGCCGGACCCGGCCAAAAAAAAATGAGGCTCGGCCCGAGCCGGCTCGAATTTTTTGATTTTTTTTTCCTCCTTCTTTAGCTGCCTTTGCAGGCAGTTTGCTGCTGCTTCAAAATTTTATTTTTATTTTTTTAATGGAGGCTCGCCCGGGCCACAGGCCGACCTGGGCTCGAGCCGACTCCCCAAAGTGGGGCTCGACCCGAGCCTGGGCTTGGTTCCTCCGAGCCCGAGCCCGAGCCCGAGCCGGGCCCGACTCGGGCTTTTTCCGAGCCGAGC